ATTAGAGCTACAGACACGGAAAAACTGATAATTATTGTTTTTACATGCATGCTGTATCCCATGTTGTCTGTTAAAGCATTAAAGAGTACGAGTGAACCCAAATTACAATAGTGAAAAGCTGACAACCTATTGATTACTTTATTCCTGTGAACATCTCTTGATAAGTACATTATTGTAAGGGATGTTAAACCAATAATATAATTATTGATTTTTGAAATATTTCCTGTAGTGAATGAGAATACAGTAGTCAGTAGTATTCGTATTATGAGGAGAAGACCTGTCCAATATCTGTGCTTGTCTTTGTATGGGCCAGTGTAAGCATCAATGAATGGCTTCAGTTTGATAACAGGATTCCTTGAACTCTTACTACAACACTTACTACTATAGCGTTGCAGCCACTGAGCAGTGAATATAAGCCCTGTATACACTAGTCCAATTATAAGGAATAATACTGCAACAAAAAACAATGGTATGTGTTTATGACTCAAATAAGCAATATTGCCATCAACACTCCAAACATTCCAGTGTCTATTTTCACATCGTATTGTAGCAACCATTAGTATATTTGTGATTGTACGCAGGAGTTTTGTAAAGGACATGAGAATGAGTGTAGCTAGAACAGGGACTGAATTATTACCACACAGACGAGAGAGTCTCCCAGAATAATAGCAGCTAATTATAATGCCACCAGTTAATAACCAAATGTATAAAGGGAATGCAAATTGTAGCCATGCCTTCCAGTATCCATCCAGCCCATCAAAGAAGCAAGTTTGAATGCCAAGATCAAGATTGAGCCATGCAATGAACTGACTCAACACAGGTATGCTGACACCATTAGGAAACAGAGCAGCTTCATTTAACTTAACCATATTTGCATAAAAGAGTAGGCCATTGATGCTGCCAACAGACACGGTCAAATTACTTGCTATCAAAAATGCTACCAGGATTAAACCAGCAAAAACAAAAAGAGCACCAAGTGAAATATACCTGTTATCACAGAATTGACATTTGTTAGAACCGAGCATGAGACTGAGTCCTGACTGACACCCTCCACAAAGAATACCAGATCTATTGTTTGTACACTGAAGGTCAGAGTAACTAAGATTAAGGTGGACAGTGGACACAATACAATAATCAAAAGGACAGTTTCTGTATGCTACTACACATTCATGCTCATCATTGTAGGATAACCAGTTATTGCCAGTTCTGCTAATAGGATGAGGCATCATGTTAATGTCACAATTTGTTCTTTCTTCATTTCGGATGATTTTATCGCAGTTGCATGTACCAGATACAAGATGAAGACCAACTGGGCATGGTAAAAACTTAAATGATAAAAACAATTCAGAATTTTTTAAGTTAAAGTTTGCTGCTGTGGTTCTAATTCCCAATTGACTTTGACCCTTATTTTGTGAAGTGTTAAGTTGCTGAACAACATATGAAAAATTTCTACACTGCATTGTTGTTTCCTGGTTACTATCTATTGGTATGATTGTAACATTTTCACTACTGGTGACTAGCACAGAAGGACTTATTCCTTTACAAACTCCAACTGTTATTAGAGAAAGAGTTAAAGACTGACCAGGATACATGATTCTCTCCATTGATCTAATATCACAGTTAGTTGAAGCATTGCTACACAAGCAGACCCCTAATGGGCTGGAAGTGATGTATGTACTGATAGGGGTATTGAAATGTAAAAACAATGGATTAGTTGAACAGTTAGTTTTATCCAAAAAAGCATTGCTTGATGTACTACTTGCCATGCTTATTCCTTTGCTGTAAAAAGTACAGTTCCAAAATTCTCCATTATAAATATTATCTCCTGCAATAATTGCAGAATTTTTTTCAAAAACTGGAATAAAATTGGGATATATAGTGCATGGCCGGTTCAGATTAGCAACAGTGTAGGGCATACTGGCAACAAAAATGGCCCCACCAACACCATTTGCAGTATTGTTAATGAAGTATACAGCAGAGTCACCAGTGATGGTAGACCCATCACTGATCCACATACCACCACCGTTAGATGGGGAATGATTGTTAGCTATTAGTGATGAGTGATTTAAGAATTCCATTGTACATGCTTGAAGAATAGCTATTCCAGACGGAAAATTATCCACAACACTAACATTTGTTAGAGTAATTGCACCTGTAGGACTACATTGAGCCCTTAGTCCCATTTTTCTGTTATGGGCAAGGATCAAGTTTGTAAAATAGAAATAGTTGGCTTTGAAAAAAATATTATCTATTCCACTCCCATAGTTACTGATGGATGTCACGTTGTATAACCGTATTATGTTTTGTTGTGCCTGGCATGATAATTCTATTCCATTACCTAAGCTGTTAGCTACGGTTACATGTGAAAGGGACACATTATTGTTAGCTTCGAGTGTAATGCCAATACCCTGATTGCAGCCCTGAACAATTACTTCGCTAATATTAACTTCACTGGATTTGTGGCAGAAAACACTCAATCCATAATTATTAGAATTTGTAATGTTGATATTTGACAAATGAATTATGATTTGCCCCATTTTTGATTTAATTATCAAACCTCTATTAATTATTGAAACATCATTCATATTTATCGTATTATTCCATTGACACCACAACTCCAACCCACTTGCTGTGACATTAAAAAAATAGAAATGATTGCTGTGATTGCATGACACAAATATTAAATTTCCATTAGTGCTGTTTTGTGCTTTTATTATACCAATAAAAAATAGTTCACTGCTTTGAAAATTGCCCATTGTGATTGAACTAGCAGAGATATCAGAAAGTGTTACATTGCTTTTGTCACCACGATGAATAATAAGCCCATGTCCAAACTGGCTTAGCATGATCGTTTTTTGTATAAGTAGATTCCCAAACTTTAAGCTGCTAATGTCAATGCAACTTTTCATTGTTTCATTTGCTACAAATTTTGAGTCCAATATAGAAATTAATGGTGTTCTTTCAGAATAATATAAAAAGGATAAAACTCGAGCTGAAACGTTTTTTACAACTACGTTTAAATTGTCTTTGAAAAAGACCATGGGGCATTCAATTATGATATCAAATATTGTAGCTGTGTGGCAATTACTTATATAAAGTCCTGCAGACTTTACCTTTTTACATTTTATAACGGACAACTCTTTTTCTCTTTCTCCTTTCAATTCTATGTTACTTAGATGATTAATATTAAAAGTACCATCAAGCTTGTGCTCTCCAGATAAAAAAACAAGTGTAATATTTGTTGGCCAGTGAATCTTGTTTGTGTAATAAGAAAGAGTATGGCATTCTCCAGTACAACTGCAATTCCTGGTATTCCACTCTGTTGGTGTGACATAATAAACAACAGATTGAGAAGGTGAGATGAGGATGAAAGAGAAATAAACGGCTATAATCTGAAAAATATTGTATTAATTTTTAAACATAGATTATAATAATCATGCTTAGTTACTTACCACTTTGAAGCAATCCATGCTGGCGTGCTTTACAACTTCACATGAATCTAGATCTATATAGCAAGGACTGTTTACTAATTACTGCATCACCAAAATGTTGATTTAGTAAGTTTTCTATGCACATAATTGGTACTGTAGTCTCAACTTTGGGCAACAAAAACAAGTTGTATGGTATCTGTGGATTATTGTAGGTGGGCAGTATGTCTATAATTGATATCTAATTGTTGTTGTTGTTTGGTTGATATTGAGATATCATGTTACAGTGAAATACAATTTTAGTGAGTCTAAGATATCAATTTTAAGCACAAGCACACATATTAGTAAATCTAAATCTAATGTAAATGAACAGTTTCTTTAAAATTTATGTGTAAGGATAGCTTGCAATGTATTGCTTTATGTATATATTGTGGAATTATGACTGAAACCATGAAAATAAAACCTACATTTTATGCATGTTCTTGCATCAAGTCAAGTCAAATGGCTTTGTAACCTATGAAATAACAAAAATGTTATTGCAAAATTGGTTATGTTGCATGTGTAGACTGTTGTATCATTATAAAGTTACTTAGCTCATACAATGAAAATAATAATGTAATCAAAATTATTTGCTCAAAAATCTAGCCAATGACCCTTGTACAGGGTATGGTTGAATTGCTTCATTGATCTGATCCATTGTTCTGTTTATCAACAATGAATCATCATGTGGTTCTACCATAAATATTTTAGCATTGGCATGATCACCTTCAGAATAGGGCAAAGTGGAAAAGATGTTTATCACTACCTTTTCATTGAAAACACTTTGCCTAACTTATGGCTAATAAATAATACCGCAGTACATAATTGCATACCAAATTGTGTCTTTGTGTGTATTTATTTGTGCATACTAACTTCATATCTTGTTGCTAATTAATCTAACTGGATTATTAATGAAAGCCAGTAATAGTGATCAGATCCAGTCCTCATGGTGTGCCCATGTTCTGTACTGGTTATATATTAAGTGAGCATTTTTATAATTATGCACAATAAAGATAGCGCCCTACACAATTATAATTATATCTTATGATGTCCTAAGTTGTTTTTTTACTACAATGAATTCAGCTCTTACTGTCCTAGCTATCACTATTGTATCATCACACAATATGATGTGCAGGCTCTGTATGTATGTTCACCAATTCCAGCCAACAGTGTTGCCATTCCTAATGACCATGTGTGATTTGCTGACGCATCTCTAATACTATAATACTGACATTATTAGTATCAAGTGTTCATATTACCGGACTGCTTGTGACATGAAAATAAATATTGGTATTATTTCTTAACAGTCACAAATTGCAGGTATATATATAGACCTAGTAGGAATGTGTGCTTTTTTCAATGTACAGCTTATTTGATTATAAGAGCTCTTTTTTGCATAACAGTCTCCTAGTTAATTTTATCTCTTTTAAATAAATCAAGTATGCCGGTATGTTCTTTTTGACAAATTTTAGATAGCAAAAAATAAAAATTAATAATGATACTTAAAGTAATGTATATTAAAACAACTATCTCTACTGTTAAAGTAAATTTGTTTATCTCGCAACTAACTAATTACAGTATTAATTACTGAAACAAAAACAAAATAAAATTGAATGTTAGTAGTTGTTACAAGGAGCTGTTACATCAGTCCTCACCATTGATCCTCCTAGCGTCACAAACAAGTCTATAGCTTTACAGGAGAAGTAGAGAGAATTGTAAGTATCTATAAGATATGAGTTATGCAGTTGCTATACATATACTATACATAGTTATACCTGGTATATCATTAAGTGAAAATATGTACATGTAAGTTCCTGGTATGTTGCTATTGAGCATCATACTGAGAGCATTAATAGCATTAGTACCAAATAAAAAGAAAAGGATCGGCTGGTACAAATTTTCCACTAATTTTTTAAATGTATTCCAGTAGACTATTAGCTGTTGTAAGGTGTACATCAAAATAAAGAGCAGCACCAAATGTAATGTGTCCATTAGTGACACACTACTAACTGGAATTACTCCCATAAAAATATTAAAGTGATTAAAGTGTAGCTAGTTATTATAAACAGTATTACATGTATTGAATTATAGCTAACTTGAGTGTTAGTTTTTAGATAATCTATCCAGGTCGCTATGTAGGAGGCCCACTGCAGAAAGTATTACATTGACCTAATCCATTGCTCTCTTTATTACCACTGAATCATCAATTATCCCAATGACCATAATTGAACTATAAAATTGCTTGAAAAGAAGAGCAAACTGGAAAAGCTACTATCACTACCTTGGCTTTGCATTCCCCTGTAGCCAATGCATCTAACCTATGTCTAACAATTTTTTGCTAGTAAAATTAATTAATGAATTTACTGTTTATAATTACACAAAATTCAAAACTAAAACACTAATGAATGTGTATGTGTATTTCTTTACATACTAACTTTATTATAGTAGTATATTGTATATTACTACTATGATTGCTGTTAGCAGTTCTGATCCCATTATACTGATATTAGTTGTTTGTCTATTACAAACAAAAAAGATGCTATTAGCAGTAGCACCAGTCCATCATTTTTAATTAACAGGCTCACACTATATCTATCCTATTACAGATATTGGTTAGTGTATAAGAGCAAACTAAAGGACTAATTTGTGTGTGTGTGTGTGAGTTTAGTGTAATTTATTTGTGTACTAACCTTTTTCTTATAGGGCCAAATTGAACAGATTGAAAGTTTGAGCTGATTCCGATCAAAATTGGATTTTTTAGGAATTTCTTAAGTTGCTCCAAAATCAGGCCACAGTAATGGTGCTACAGGTATAAAGTAGAAGCTCCAGTTTTTTGTGTGTTTCCATGTTCTGTACCATAAGGATACAGGTCATTTACTGAAAAAGCATTTGTAATTCAGTATTTAACCTATAAAAATAGTGCCATACACCATACAAGTATAATAATATAATCTTACTGGTTAGCAGTTACACTGATAGTTGACCTTTAGTTTGTGTAATTAAAATAAACTCTTAATGTCCTACCACTTTTATTAAGACACAACGTATATGACGTACTATAGCAAAGAATAAAAGAGTAATAACAAATAACCTTGTCTACAATTTCTCATTTGTTTAATATATGCATACAAAAATTAAAAATATAGGTACATAATTACACATACTTGCTCCTTTGCTGGTCTAGCTCTCAAATCTCAATCTAGATGTTATTATAAATACATATGTACATGTACATGTACATGTACATTGACACACCTTTCTCTACACCCTATTTCTACAACTGTATTACAAATTACATATTTCTGGTTCTTGATGTCAATCATTGGTGGCTATCACTTACCTCTAGTAACAAGTATATCAAAATCTCAGTAGTTCCATTGTCTTACTTTGTAAGGATTATGCAGCTAGGATCATCTGAGACTGGCATGACAACATCTAACTCTCAATCCATTTTACCATTAACTGAGAGAAAGGAAGAAAAAAGGAGAGAGGGGGAGAGGAGAGTAAAAGAGTAATAAGGTACATGTACATTACTTTTTTCTATGTATGAAGTGAATGCTCCATAATAAGCAACAAAAGCAGGGCTCTACAACAAAAATATTACTGCTGACCTCTTTGTCTAATTTCTAACGACATATCGCCATAAGACAACATACTTATACTGTACTTACCTTTAGTGATTCATTCCATTGAAAGTGTTTTTAGCTAGACCAGAGTCAGTTTGTTTGCTCCTTGAAGTATAGCTTGTGTTTGACTAATGTTTTTAATTAATTCTTTTGGTTCAACCAAGAGTACATAATACCTTTAAGGTGTTATGTACTCTTAGTTCAACTACACTCTTCTCATAAGAAGCTTGTAATTCTATCAAGAAACATTATTAAGAGAGAACAAAAGAGAGGGAGTGAGAGGAAGGAAGAGAGAAAAGCTACTAACCTTAGCTTCTTCTACTTCCTCCAGGGCAGCTTGCTTATCTGTTAATTTGGATATCATTTTATCTCCCCTTGCTACCTTTAACCTGTATAATAACAGGTAAACAAAATTACAGGTACAGTAGATTGTACATTTTATGCATTATACATGTATACTGTATTGTTCTCACTTTGGTTCTATTGTCCAGAAAACCTTGGAATATTCATCCATTGCTTTCACCTACATACATATTGAAGTGCAAGCCTACAGGAACAGACAGTACTATCACTGCAATATATATGGATTGTTTATGTACATGTATATGTATTATAGCTCCAAATTTTTATCAGTTAAAACTTATGTCAAATTTATCAGGCATTTTCATTTCATAAATTTTTGCTTCACATGAGTAGCATGAGAATTCATAGCAAAAATGATGTAAATTTTATCAACGAAAATTAATTTCAACAAAAAATAAAGATCTTGACAAACTTTTTGACTAATGAAAATATGGTACTATAGTGTACATATTACACAGGTTCAAACTGTGGATTACCTTAGCCTCTTCAGAGTGAAGTCTGGCATATATGGGTATTATCCTTATATTCAAATGCATACATAAATAATTTATAAAATAATTTGCAACTAACTTTGTCATATCTGATCATCTTTTTATGAAACTTGAGTCTCTGAGGAACTGTTTAGCAATTGGGATGATTAGTAGTGAATTAATATCTATGCCTCATTGTACAAATTGTATGTACATGTACATGTACAATATGTCTATTAATTCCACCAAAGAGTTGGCTGGCAAGACTAATCTCAGTTAGCCTCGTGAGCATAATCTCAATACACATCTCTGAGACTTTGTTTAAATAAGGACAATAATTAATACACAATTAATAATTAATTAATAATTAATATTCTTGCTCACTCCCTCCTTCACTGAGTTCTCTTCTTCCTTCTCTTACCAACCAATCTCAATGTCAAAAAGGTTTCAACAACAGACAGCAGTGTTTCCTGTGGCCATTTGATAAACCCGTCAATGGTATAGCAGTTAACTATAGTAATGGAACATCCTGTAATGTGACCTAAAGGTATCATAAACAGCTAGGACTCATGGACAACAGGAGTATATACACACATGTACCATCCCTGAAGGAGAGAGAGAGAATCAATTAAGATAGAAGAAAGTATAAGGATGATTTTTTAAATTGGTTCTAAAATTTTATCATTCATACATATGCTCCAGTACTACTGTCCATGCCTATCTTGTATTGATATGCCATTATCTTTAGCTTTACGTCTTGTCATTTGCAAAATTTGTATATTTTTCTGCTGTAAAAAGATTAAAGAGCTTCACCAAAATTAAGCACATTTTTGATACCTTCAAGAAACTCTTCAACAATTTGCAGAGACATAGGAGGGAGGAATTAAGAAGGACACATGTAGATGATTATAATGTATTGTGTACTTGTGAAAAGGAACACAAAATTTTCTCTTTTCACTTTAGCCATGTCATACAACTTCTTCATGTCATCCTGAAATGCTTTATAATATTCACTTAATGTACATGTATATGAGAAATTACAATAAAACAAGCATGAACATGTACATATACAATAAATTTAAAAGCACAATTTAACCAATCATAAATTTTAGAGATTCAATACAACACATGCATATATATGTTGTACATGTACAAATTCATTATACCTTATATACACTGGGAGAGATCTCTCATATGAAGTACATGTATTTAATGACGTATAGCTGGAGGAGGTAAGAGATCATTCAGAGTCTTGTGTCAGTGAATTATCAGGTTGTTCAAAAATTGAACCAAGAAGTCTGTACTATAGTTCAGGGTATTTTGATAAAACCACAAAGAAAGAATCCTCCATTTATGCAACTTTTTTGTGATACATATACATGTATATGTACATATTGTTACATGTATGCTGTGAAATAATCAAATCTGATTCTGAGCAAATTTTGATTTTTATAAAATTTAAATTTTTAAATTTGCAAAATAATCTAGCCAATGGCCAAAAACTACAATAGCCTTTGGTGTTATGCCAATTTTCATTAAATCAATGAAGAAAGAATTCTACATTTGTATCCTTTCTGATTCATATGCATGTTCTTATGTTATGTATCAAATTTGATCTGATTCCAATTAAATGGATTCTTACAAATGCTGTTTAGCTCTCTTAGCTAGCTTTGTGGCAATTTTGGGAAATGCCGACCTACACGTACATTTGACCATTATACATGTATAATGTACATGTACGTGTATTTCAACAAAATAGGAGAGAAAGGGAAAATGAAAAAGAGGGAGGAAAGTACATGTACACGAGACAATAATATAATGACCATTATGTATTGACTTGAAACTGGTCTCAAAAATTTCAGTCTATTCAATTAAGGACAGTCAACTTCTAGGCAGGTTGATGTGGGTAAGTGTAGGTTTGGAGGCACCACCAAAAACATGCCGTTTAAAAATCATAATTGGTTTGCGGAGACAGAACATTTTGAAGGACTGAAACACATTTTGACATGCAATGTAACAAAAATTCAGTTGCATAGGCAGTCAATTTTAAAATCAAAAAAAAATTTTTAGAAGTAAATAGTCAGATTTTCATATCTGCATGCAAATGCAATACAGTACACCTAAATCAAAATGTAAAGGAAAGCTTTGCTACATAATGAGAAATTATAAACTCATAAAAAGTGAAATACAAACATGCAGCTTTGTATCTTATCTTGTTAGTTCCATTTTTCTTCAGTTTTCTCTACAGCTCTTTTTAAAGAAGACCAGTAAGCACCTCCTTCCTTACTACTGACACCATCTTGCTCCTTTAGCCATTTTGCTAAACACTCAGTGAGACAGCGACTTGCATCTTTTGAAAAGTTATCACTTATAGTATCCAGTGTGTGCTTGTACAATCCTAAGTTTAAACATAACTCGGTCCATTTTGAGTGTGGAAAGTAAATGGACTGTAACTTTTGCTTGACATCAGATAAATGTGTTATGTTTAATTTCTCTTGGGGCAACACTGCTGAACTTGATTCCTCAAAATCAGGTAAATCTATAAAATGACACAAACAACAATTTGTGAATGACTGATATAAAACATAATCTTTACTTTTAGGCTTGTGAGATGAAACTACAGAGTGCTGCAGCCTGTTTAAAGCTTTTACAGTGTCAATAAATTCCTTGCGTGCCATAAACCGTTTTGACTCATGATCTTTCATGTATATAAGCCACCAGTAATCAGCTTGTTCTTCAAAACTATATTCTGGAGGAATAAATTCAGCAAAATTGCTTAGGTAAAGTCTAGCAGCAATAGCCGAGTACATGGGAATGGCAAGATCAGTCCTCTCTACTTTTCTCCAATCTATACCAAAATGTTTCATGATTGCTCCATACTTTCTGCCAAGGCGAATGTGAGCTTTTGTATCATGAGTATCACTGAAAGCAAACAAGCTCACTTGCCATATCCCACCATCAGTGTGTAATTGAAATGGTGGATTGCCATCATTGGACATTACATGAGCTATTCTACGCATTAGACCATGGTCATCTGGAAAAATTCCTGACTCATGAAGATTTTGAATGCACAAGTCAACAACATCTTTTCCAGTTTCGCCACTCATCCATATACGACTTTCAAGACTGGGCTTTTGATGAATATCGTCTACAAAATATAACATCAGAAAATACCTTATAAAAATGTTATTACAGCTGATGGCAGCAGTTATAAAAATACATGTAGGTATTTAATGCTGTTGTTGCTTTAGCAAATTACTCTATTGAAGTAGTCTAAAAAATTCTAACCTTTCTTTGTACGATTGAGCTGAGTTTCAATAGTTGGTGAAAAGGTATAATGAAGGACTACACTACCTATTGCGACCAGAAATGTCAGTACAACTGTGAAACACATCATTCTAGAGCTACATGAACCTAATAGTAAAAATAGATTGTTTTGTTAAAATTGTACATCTATTAGTACCCAAATGCAGTAAGTAAGTGTTATAATGTCATTTGTGTTACAAAAATATTATTGGAGCAAATTCATGGTATGTAAAACTGAACTTCTCTTGACAGACACTCTTAAACTTGGGGTCAATTACCATGGCCCAATTGCAATTGCAGTGATTAAACAGAATGTGATTAAATTTTATGAATTTAAAATTAGTGCAAAATTGAGCCAAAAGAGTGCTATCTAGCTCACTTAGCACGCTTACTGGGAAATTTTGGCGACAATATGTTATTTACATTATTTCTTGAATGTGAAATTGTTAATTTAGGCTTCGAAATTAATCATAGGTCTCTATGTGATACACTGGACCTAGTCTAACAATGGCTTGTCCCTAAGTGTACGTTATAAAGGCCACACACACTGTAATGCCAAACGAATACTCTATTTCTCTTTCACAGTGTGACCTCCACCACACACATAAAAATGTGCTTCCTAGAATGGCTACATCTGCTGTCATTACCTTTACGAAGAAACTTCTCATGTTTGACTTCGCTAGTTTTCTCTTTTCTATCATTCTGAGTCTTTAAGTCAACAATAACAATCTCTATAGAGGTAACAAAAACATACATAATTTTGTAAATACCATACATCTATCTGCATATTTTGTGTCTAAAAAGTTTGCATAATACAACTTTAGTGTAATAGTAATTAAGGTGTGATGTATTATTCAATGCACATGTAATTTTACATGTAATAAACAGGTGCACGTACATGTACATGTAATTTTTGCAAATTCTTCATCTCACAAAATAAAAGTACAGTAAACCAAATTTCCAGATACACATTATACAATGTTTCAGACTACTAGATTAATCCATACCTCCATTAGACCTATTTATAGAGCGGTTGCAGTGACGTCACTTTTTGACGTCATAATTACTTCCGTATGGCAAAAATTAATGAGCCTCATTCGTTTACAGCAGTAAAGTTGCTTCTTCTATAACTTCTTTTACACAGCACAAGGCAGAAAAGGAGTAGAATTCTAGGGGTAGTAAGCAGAAAAGTGGTGATTACAGGAGTAACAAGACAATGCCGTGTTCACTTTGGCCGCTTCACTGGTTCTCTATCCGAGGACTTTTTGCTTCCTTTACATCCCTGAGTCCAGGAAAATTAAAGAGCATCATGAATTAGCCATGCTCATAGTTAAGGAAGCCTGCCAGATGAGTTTATAGCGCTGTACAAATGAATGGCAAAGTAGCCATTTTGCCATGCGGAAGTAATTATGACGCATGCTGTGACGTCATATGAAACCGCTCTATAGTCATGCAATGATACAACATTTTGCAATGTCTGTTTTATCAGGTTTCAAAAAGTGACAAAACCCTCTTATATTGACTTGGGAAACCCAAGTAGACTATAATTGTTCCCTCACATTAGCAATAGTCAGATGCCAGGCTATCTATTATGTATATTTACTATTAGTGCGGCATGATGATGACATTATGATCTCATTATACCTGCTATTGATAATAGTCTTTTTGCTATTTGTGTAAGCTGGGGTTCATTATGTCTCATTAACACTGAGCACAGTTTCTGTAATACTTGTTCAGGTTCATCTTCAACCTTTAGTGATCTTTCCAATTCAGTCACCAACTTGTTTGCTTTCTTCGCATTTGTTCCTTCGCCATTAATCAGTTCATCTTTAAATTCAAAAACTATCAGTCTCTCAGCATAAAGCTCATTCACTATAGTTCCAAGACAGGGTGTTATGGCAATGGAGAGCTTGCCCGACAAACTGGCTAACGCATCAACAGCTTTCATTGGGAGGTACGAGGAGGTATTCGCTCATCTTCCATAAAAATCTAAGGGGTAGGCGTAGTCAAATCAAATTAATTCTGCGGTCAACAGCTATAATTAACAGGAAATGAATTTCATGATTCCAGTTGCAGCCATAAAAGTTAGGTAGTAGAAATTATCATCATTATTATAAAAGCAACATTTATTTTTATCATAATAAATTATCATTGCCATTATAGCAAATCATTACTAGTGTACTTTAGTTTGACTTTTGCTGCTGAGTGTTATTTTCTAAAGCCTCTACAGTATAGATAAAATGAGTACGTTCCATAAACCGCTTAGACTCGTGGTCTTTCATGTAGATATTCCACCAGTAATCTGCTTGTTCTTCTGCACTGCATGCTGGAGGAATGCCTTCTTTAAAGTTACTCATGTAAAGTGAAGCAGCGATGGACGAGTACATCGGAATAGCAAGATCTTTCCTCTCTGCCTTGCTCCAGTCTATCCCAAATTTTTCAAAAATCTTTTCAAATTTTTCTTTAAGGTGACCATGTACTTTGAGATTTTGTGTTTCCCTAAAGGCAAACAAACTCACTTGCCATATTCCACCATCAGTATACAAAGGAAATGGTGGTTTTCCATCACGTGACATCACAATTCACAAAAGCTACTCTACGCAAGAACACACCATCAATTGATGCAATACCAGATGCATGAACTTCTTCTATGCACAGATTAACGACATCCTCTCCAGATTCACCTCTGACCCAGATACGCTTCTCAATACAAGGCAGTGCAATATCAGAATCACCTAGTATGAAAATCATTGCATAAATAACCTAACACAGTGCTATTTAGTAAAATACCTTCTAAAGCTGTCACAGTATCAATGAATGTTTGACATTTAATAAAATCTCTTGACTCGTGCTTTTCCATGTAAATCTCCCACCAGTAGTCAGCTTGTTCCTTTATATTGTATTCAGGAGGAATAAATTTTGGAAAGTTACTTAAATACAGTCTAGCAGCAATGGCTGAATAAATTGGAATAGTAAGATAGCTCCTTTCTACTTTTCTCCAATTAATTCCAAAATGCTGCATTATTCTTTCATATTTTCTTCCCAAACGGATATGTGAGCGAGTATCATGAGTATCTTGAAATGCAAACATGCTCACTTGCCATATCCCACCATCATTGCAAAAGTTACAACTATTCCTGGACATCACATGTGCTATTCTATGCATGAGTTTATTGTCATCAGGAAATATTCTTGATTCTTTAAGCTTTTCAATACACAATTTGATTATATCCTCTCCATCTTCACCTCTGGTCCATATGCGGTTTTCGAGAAATATTTTCTCCCTAGTATTATCTAAAAATAATATTGCATTTGTAACTACTTAAATCACAAATTGAAGAGTAGCTATCCACCACATGCATGCATTGTAGAAATACTTTTGAAAGTAAGCTAAATAGATTATGCACTAATAATGTACCTTGATTAGTAGTAGGAGTTGAGACTAATGGGAGCTCAGGATCATGTACATGTACTTGCAAAGGAGGCTATGATTTTGGGAAAGAAAATAATTATCACTTGAATGTACCAATGCATTTACTTCTAAATCTGTCCTTATGGCAGTAGCAATTTTCTTTGCTTGGTTGTCGTCAATATTCTCATCTTCCAGTGCTTCGCAGATTGTCAACACACATTTCTTAGGATCATCACTGTTTTTGATTCTCTCAAACAGGTAATGGGTCACTTTGCTACTTCTTTCTCTGCTTGACAAATTTGGTTGAGAACTGATTGCATCCAGTTCATTTTTTGTTATTAGGTCCTTTGAAAAAAAGATATCAGTGAAATCACAGAAATTGGGGTCCCTTGCAAGTAGATTTTTAAATTTTACAAAGTTCTTTTTGAAAATGCTTGATGGAGAGGCACTCTCCACAATACCTAGAAATGATGTTATAGTACCAGAAGAGATAATAGTAAGAGTTAATTACTTGTAGTCTTTCCAGCCATTGATGGTTAGATTTAAGGGGTGGAATACAGTATCAATCATGTGATCATATCCACCCTCACTAAGCATATTATTTTCAAAAAAATATTCAATATTTTTGGATGTACTCTCTCTCTTATTATCTTCAGTTGTTGTCTCAATTATAATTAAATCTTTAATCAACTTTCCAATGCTAAAAATATAATGTGCTTTTAAGAACCAACAAGTGAGACTCAATTTTTGCATACAGGCACAAAAAGGCCCATTTGTGACTCTATTATCACAGTTAGAAGATGCCTTTGCCAAACAGTAATTAGGCCAAAGATTAAAAAACTGCTACTTCATTAGACAGTATAAATTTGAATGTGTCTCGCTAGTTAATCTGAACAAAAATAAGCAACACATGTATTGTGTATTAAGAAATGAAATAATACAATTTATTTACTAATTTGAAAAATAATTGTCATGACTCTCGATCACTACTGCTTGCAGTTCCTTCATAGTAACAGATATATAAAAAGTAGTCTGATTCTCTGTATTCCTGGTATAGTCTAGCCAGTGTGCTGTCAGTACCAGCCAATACATCATTATCAACATAAAGATAGAGAGGAGCATGTGATGGCCGTCTTAGCTTGTTGTTCATGTACTGAATAACATCACTCACTAGGTATTAAAAAATGTATACATAATAATAATTATCTATGATCAAAAATAATACTGATATGTCCAAACTTGTAGCCACTTGTTACTTGTACATGTACATGTACATGTAAGGGTTTCCCACAAAGCATGCTGCTGTGCTAAGTGTGCTTAAAACTTGAGCTGAAAAGACAGTACAGTAGATGGTATAGCTTTACAAATACATGTATATAAAATATCCAATTTTGATGAAAATCAGTATCAAAAATTATTATAATGGAAAATTATCGCATAGCCATTTTTGATGAATTTGGCCCTAGACCAAAGGATATAGCCTCCTGCCATTGGCCCAATTTTAATGGTGAATTCTTTCTTTTGATTTTTGGTAAAATACTCTGTAATGCATACATGTAGTTCAGGGCATAATATTTGAGAAAATTAAAAATCCACTGACAAGAAGCTTTATGAGCTCTATGCCAAAATCCAATAGGAAACGCCGTTGTTAGTAAAAGTACATGTACATGTACATGTACATGCATAAACCATTTACATACATGTACACGTACATGTACATGTAAACGTACCTTTTGAAGAAGAAGGCAAAAGAAGTTTGAAGTTGTCAATGTCAGGCAAACCGGACTTATGTACCTTACCAATTATAACCTGATAAAAAGAGAATAGAAATGAACACTAAGTAAACAAATCTGTACATGACATACAGGGTTCACAATAGAAACTTTACTATGAAATTCTTATCCCAAATTCCAATTGAGCACTTTAGTTGCATACATGTACACGTAGCTTCATAAAGGATATTAAAAGCAACAAATTGATGAGCATGCAAATGCTATTAAAAAATAAAAGCCTAGGAATTCAGAATTAATTATTATTGAGTCAGACCAACCTACACATACACGTACGTGTAGTCGTGTACATGTAAAATTAAATGCCAGCACAATGCCATAATGGATCCATGATGCCATCAGGAGATAGCATGTGCATCTATAAACTCCTTGCATTAGGTATGGTAATTATGAGATCAGCAAATGTGTAGTAGCAATACAAATTGTTGGAGTGAGCTAATGCTTAGCATACCATGTAGCATTTTATTTTGGTGGCACTTTATTTTGGCAATCTCGCTGTAACATTGTAATTGGCGATTGTTAATTTGTCAATTTTTTATGTACACGTGCATTACTGAGCATGTGTATTAATGATTGGCGGTTTTAATATTGGTGATTCAGCCGCTGATTCTGCTTGCAGACCGCCAATCTCCAAAATAAAACTCAGCCAAATTAAAGTGCTATACGGTATACTGTTTTATTAGGCACAAAAATAAGAATGGTGAATAAACTTTGCAGAGAGAAATTCACTGAAATTCATGATAAAGCAATCAGCAAAGTTACCTTCATACAATAACAGAACTGATGTAACTCTCAGTAGATAATATTTTCAAAGTGTTGAAATAATAATTATTATTACAAGAATTAAAAATAACAATTGATTCTATTTCAGCTAATCTTCAGGTTCGTTTGCTTCCCACTGACTTAATATGATTAAGTAATTGTCAAATTTTTATTGTCCCTTCCGTGACTACTAAAAGCAATGGCAAATTTTTTGTATGACTAGTATATACCGGTACATGTATATACATGTTGAGATACATGTACAGTACACCAATTCAGTTGCCAAGCGTACTGCCACAGTCAATGCAAAGTGACTATAGTAGGCCTAAGCAAAGTTAGAGATGCATTTCGTATGGGGAACAATGGCACTTTCTATAATAGCTAAACTTGTTGCTGGTTAAAACTAAGCAAATAGATAAAGGCCAATACAAGTGAGTTAAAATTTATCCAAATACAACTACACTACCATAGATCTACATTTATAAGTGTACTCACAGGTACTTTAGAAGGATGATTCTTTAATGTTCTTTGCCCCTCCAATCTCCTTTGCTCAAAATCAGGCTTTTGAACCTTGTACTTGTATGTTACTTGAAACGCCATTTTTTTAGGAAGGCGTGGCGACAAGTAGACCACACCCACGCTAGATGAGATGAGATGTCGTTCTTCGAGATGCTGTCTCCTAATCTCTCTATTTTTCCTCCAAACCTTTTTTCTGCTATACTTCATGATCATCAGAAACTCAACAGCACATTTTAGCAGTGAACTAAAGCGGAAAGACTGTCTGTGTCAACTTAAAGATGATGTTAATAATCCAGAAGCTAGGAGCCACACTACTCCATTATCTCATAAATCTGAACATGCTTATCTTTTAGTAACTATTTTGTCTAGCCCCAATGCAAAGGAAAGAAGAGACTCAATTAGGAGTACTTGGATGCAAGGCTATGATACTCTGCACCCAAAAGTCCTAGTCAAGTTTGTGATTGGTGGATTGGGTGTTGCTGCCGGTGCACTATCCAGTGTGAGAGAAGAAGATAAACAATATGGCGACATTTTATTATTAGAGGATTTATATGAATCGTACCACAATTTAACTCTGAAAATATTGTGGACATTTGTATACGTATCCCACTCATTTAACGTCTCATATTTAATGAAATGTGACGATGATACATTTGTACTACTGGAACGTGTACTGGAAGAATTGGTTAAGCGAGACAGTGACCACAGAACTAGTTTTTATTGGGGTTTCTTTAATGGTAGAGCAAGAGTGAAAAGGAAAGGGAAGTGGCAGGAGAGTGGATGGTTTCTAAGCAATAATTACCTGCCTTATGCTCTTGGAGGTGGTTACATACTCAGTGGTGATTTGGTGGATAAAGTGGCTATTAATGCAGACAGTTTACAATTATATCAGTCAGAAGATGTGTCAGTTGGTGTGTGGTTGAGTAGTTTTAAGGCTGAAAGGAAGCATGATGTTCGTTTTAACACTGAGTATGTATCTCGTGGTTGTCTTAACGTTTACATTGTATCACATAAACAGTCCATTGCTGATATGAAGCTGAAGTATCAGAATATAAGGCTAATTGGTAAACAGTGTAATAAAGAGTATCAGACCAGGCTGTCTTATATTTATAATTGGACTGTTCCTCCTCTTGAGTGTTGTCAACGACTCACTGGCATACCTTGATTAAAGTTGATGTATTATTTTGTATCTGCATTGATAATATTATTATTCCATTACAAATAAAATGATTTTTTTGTTTCATTGTGTAATTATAATTATTCTAATCCTGACTGATCACTGGCATGGCTTGAAGGAATAACTGATGCTGCATTGTCACATCTCCTTTCAGTATTATCTATATTAATTGAGATTCATCAGGTAATTAATTCACAGTCCAACTTACATTTGTTTGAGCTTTAATAGTTGCACCCTATATCAAAGAAAGGAGTAGTGAGGTCACAGAATTATGCAACAATAAATGAAACCAAGGAGATGTATGTACCATTGAATCCTTTCTAGGATGAAATGTAATTTTGATGTCTTTAATCTCACCAGTATCTAATGAAGACTAGAAGAAAGGAAGAGGAAAAAACAGAAGCAGGGTAGAAGTGACTTGATATACTGTGAATGCTATGTCCATTTACCTTCATTGGGTCAATAGTGAAGCACTTAGTATCAATAGGATTTCCCTGTAATGTTTCAATTGTGAACTCACCCTTAGATTTTTTAGCAATTGATGTTTTCGCTGATCCTATCAACAACTGTTGACTAACACTATCTGTAGACTTGTATTGGAATATGAATAGCAATGGATGAGAAGTCAGGGTACCACTACCACTAGCTGCTAAAGTGATTTAATGAAAACGATAAAAAGTACGTACATTAAATGTACACACTGTCATGCATTGTTTTACTTGTATCAGTGGTATGTACTGCAGCCATTGACACGTCATTTGGCCCAATAGTTACTCCTCCTGTTGCATACATATTGCCAGATATTGACTGACCTCTAAGGGCAAGGGACGATATCTAGAAATGCATACATGTGTAAATATGCAGTTTCGTGTAGGTATAGAGATTAAAGACTTTACTTACACTGTACATGCTTACATGCACATATACATACCTTTTTATCATTGATTTCAATATGTAAATTCTCACTATACACACAGTCTGGCCTATCATGACTGAACTGAATATTGACTGTCAGAGTGGAATCTAAAGGAAGCATAATACAAAGTAAAGTGTTGATAAAACATACTGGGTGGTATGACATCAGAATAAGGAACACAAGTAAAGGCTGGTTGACCATTGCAATTACGTGAGCCTAAAAACAATAATTACTAAAATAAAACAATGAAACAATTAAGAAAGCATACATGTACATGTATGTGTAAATAGTTCAGGATTAAATTAGTTTACATGTACAATACATGTATAGTATACAAGAGTAATGATGCATATACTGTACATGTACATGAATTACTTGACTCATCTGCCTCCATTTTTAAGCACAACTCCACTTTTACTTCAGAAGTATTCTTAACTTGAATACTCTTTGATATTGTATCTCCTGCAGAAATATAGCCCCAGTCAACTGGTCCTTCCTCTGGGGTAACATGTACTATTGGCTCAATCCCTTGACCTAACAGTGTTAGCTCCAAGTATGATGATGTGCCATATCTCAACTTAAGTGTCTCGTAATACTAAAAATTATTAAATAAGACATTACAGGGAGATAAAAGCTAGTGTACATGTACTTCCAAGTAATGACCAGCTATGATACTGTATGTACATGTACATGTACATGTACATGTACATGTATATGTATGCATTTACACTACATAATACCTTTCCGCTAGTTTCAGGCTCAAACTGTAATATCATTGAGTGTGTAGAGTTGGAGGGTATCTCTCTCAGTGAGTTTCTTATCTCAAACCCACTTCTCATACTAGTAGCAGTCACCTGTGACAATTAAATCACAAACATTTAAAATGTAGTGTCTGTGTGAGGATACCTTCAATTTCTCTATTGACATGTTCTTTAGTACAACAGTCTTTTTACAATAGCTTCCTGAATAACAAAATGGGTATACTTACATGTACATGTGCATGCTTTACATTTAATTATTTGTTCAATTATTCTTACCTACTCCAACATCTCCAAAATCAATAGTGGCACATCCATCATTAGACACAAGAAAAAGTGATGGCTTAATGGCAGTAGCTGATACATCAACATACAGTATCTCCTCTGGTCTATATAGTAATTAATGCTACTTAAAAGTCTCATTTCATAACTAAAACAATAGTAGCATACATGCACATAATATACATGTACATGTACATTGTACATGATGCACTTTACAGAAAATAAAATAAGAACAAGAAATAAATGATTTAGAATAATTTTCCACAACATGAACAATTGAACATGCAAATACATTGTACAATGTACATGCACTTTGGTAATAACACATGTCTGTACATGTACTGAATCATAATCACAAGCTGTATTAAAGCAGTTAATGTGCATGTACATACATTGTGCATATACACCCTGAACCCTGAACCATGTACATGCATAGGGCCAAGAAATATCACTGCAGGAACAAATATTATAAATAATGTACATGTACATTTAGATGTACATGTATATGTACATGTACATGAACGCATATTATTGTGTACCTGTACTCAATGATTCCTGGATGATCAGTAATCTTGGTTTGTGGGTTAGATATGAAACATGGTATCATGCATCGATACTGAGCACATTCATATTCGTGCAGTAATTGATCATAGGCTTTCCACCAAAAACGAGATCTATAGTATACAAGTATAATGCATAATGTAAAACACATGCTTTTGTAGAAGGAAGCATTTACCATTACACACACACACACAGACATGCATGAAGCTTCATAGTACATGTACATGTACATATACTTTAAAATCCAAATAGAGTCAACAGAGACACAGTAGTGTACAGTACATGCACATCAAAATGTTAGTGTTGCTGTTCTTACATTTCACTGTTTGACACTTCACAAGCTTCTCCTTTATTATTATTAGTCTGTTCAATCTTCTGTTGTGATCCTGACATTAACGCACTGTCTGAACACAATGAGCTACGATTACTAGCTTGACTTGTTGGGCGACCAGTTGTACGACGACCTTTTGATTTTGAAGATTTCTAAATAAAATACATCAATTTCACTTAAGCATACAAGAAAATATGCACATAACAAACATACACTGTACGTGTAGTGTACGTGTACATGCAACTACATGTACATGTACACTGTACATGTACATTGTACATTGAGTATTTCTGGAATAATTTTAGAAATAATGGGTGATTGTGAGAATTAGAAAAAAATTATTGTACAATTATAATGTGAATTCAGTGGAACTAAAAAATCTAAAAACAAAAATTTTGTTGCATGGTAAAAAACAAAGATGGTACATTAGTTTTTAGTAGAGGAGAAGTTTTGTTATTGAAGGTACTATAATGAAAAATATAAATGTACATATAAATGAACCATACACAATATTGCATACATGTACATGTATGTAGAATTGTACATACATGTACTGTGTACATGTACATGTATGTAAAATTTATGAAATATTTTTAAAAACATAACAAATTCATGTCATTTTAAAAATCTTTTATAGGAATCAAAAGTAAAAAAAGACAAAGTGCATGTATATGTACATGTACATGTATAACTACATGTACATGTAAATTGCACACAGAATTTCTAAGTTGAACATGTAGTAGATCAGTCATTACTTACTGATTGCTTTTCTTCTTCTGCACTAGCTAATCTGTCCTCCTCTGCTTTCTTTGCAGCTATAGCAGCTGCATCCTTCTTTGCTAAAGCAATACTCCTGTCTTTGATACTTTGCTGATCAAGTTTAGGACTAAAACTGATCTCAATATCAATGCTCTAGCAAATGAAATTATGTGAGATACACAATGTAAGCATAATGTGTACATTGACAGTACTGAGAAAGTACACATGAACAATTGTACATGTAAATGAATGTATGTACACACTGTATAGCTGGTAATTTTTTGAGAGGGAAATTTTTGCAAAACTGGCTCTGTAATAGCAATTACTATTATAATGGAACATTACAAAAAATTTAATAAATTGACACCCACCAATCTCGATACATTTGGCAAATTGTCAAAATTTTGCCCTTCCAAAATTACCAGATACAGTACATGTACTATATACATGTACATTGTACAATGTATGTAGTATCATGAAATACCAGTATGTATTGTACATGTACCTTGCCAGGATCTACAATCCCTACTGCTGGTGAAACTGATATTGGCAAGTTTTCTGAAGGAATATGAAATTCAAACAACCTGGAAGCTTTAAGAGGTGTTGGCCCTTTTGTGACTGCATTATGAGCTGAAGGAGTTGATGGATTGAGTATAGAAATACGAGATACACTGATAGTGTTCAATGGAGTATCATTAAAGAGTACAGTAGAGTGAGAGAGCCTCAAAGGAGTATGAATACCAGTACCTTTTACAGTTAGCTTGTACTCCCTACACAAATACATATATGGACATATATACATGTACATATACAATGTACATGTAAATGCATACAACAAAGGTAGCAAAATAACAATTGATATTATGAGTTTGTTTTCCACTAGTTAGTTACCACAGGTCAGAATATACATGATGTGCAAGCATTTGCAGCTGCTAATATTCACACATTTATTATTAGTGTTCCAACGACAGATAAAGATACGGCGAGACAGAGTGAGTAGAGTAGTTATGAAAGAACTGGTTAAAGCAGCACTTCAAAGAGACCAAGGATTAGTAACAGTAACACCTCAAGAACACTTAAGCAGGATGCTTTGCTTTAATATTGGGCAATTTTCAATAAAAATTGCATTTTTATTTATGGTCCCTGCTAGGCTTGGCTAATATTAGCAGCCGCAAATATATCTTGCCTTATGGCTTTACAAGAAAAGTACATGTACATGTACATGTAGATGCATGCATGCAGATATTTACTTGTTTATCACAGTAAGACAGGATACAGTGTTAGTAAAATATTCTTTAGGAACATCTGGTGTAAATATTACATCAACTGAAAGTGTTTCATGAGGTAATAGAGTACCAAAGCCATCATTTGGTTGAACGGACAACCACTAACAAAAAACAATAATAACATATACAGTACATGCATGTCCATAAAATTACGTTGAATGCATGTAATTTTATTGTAAGAATTCTACTTGTACAGTACAGTAAATGTGGTACATGCAGTCATGCATACATTGTACATGTATACATGTATTTGGATTTGTACACTCATCTACACATGCATGTAATGCTTTGTACTTTGGGAAGGTGAACAAATCCAAAGTCTTGAGGTAAACAGCTTTTATTAGTTAACTGTATGCTGGTGTATACTGATTCATGTATTGTGCACTGTCCAAAGTCCAATGTTGTCTGTGAAAGACTAATATCAGATTCTGTCACTGTTGCCATTACTGTAAAAGTAACTGGTGATGACTGTATAAAAAAGAATTAGAATACATGTAAATATGATAATACATTTTGCATGTACATGTACATGTACAATGTACATGTTATTGGCACAATACTAAATATTGTACAGGTTCATGTACATGCATGTACAGTACATCAAGTATTCCATAATTTTAAAACTCACTTGTCCAGCTACAATTATACTAATAGGAACTTTGAGTGTCCCTCCTTCAAAGAGTTCGCTGGATTCTTCAGTCAGTAATGATGGTCGGGGAAGGAATTTAAGTTGAGCTGTGAATGATGAGCCACCCTGAACAAGCCCATACTTTGGTATTATCTCCATGTGATCAGACACAAGAGAAGGAATAGAGAATGTAGCCTGCAAAGCTGTCCTTGACCTGAATTATTTAAAATACAAATAAAACATAATACATGTAATATACCAATACAACACAAGTACATGTACATGCAGAAATGTACATGTAAATGGATCATATATCAAGAAAACTGCTAAACTTGTACCTGTTACATAGAACAACTGAATCTTGATAAAGCAGATCAGTCATGCAGATGTCTAAATCAATTACCTAAAAAGTGCATTGTGATTACAATTAATATTAAACCAATAACTAGCAAGAAGAACTATAATAATAAAACAATAATTATTTATAAAAACATTAATACACATATTTACATGTACATGTATGTACAGTCAGTGCATGCTTCACCTCTCTCTCTGTATAAATTGGTAAATCAATGGCTTCACCAGTAGCTACTATATGTATCTATCAACAAACGATTACTAGGAATAAAGACATTATGATCATTTACTGGTTCATTAGTAGTGCTTAAAACAAATTGTGACTGATAACTTCCAGAAATCTTAGGACAGAACACAAGATCTAACACAACTGACGAATATGGATCTATCATTCCAGACCTTATCTAATAAAAGAAAAATGACAATTGCATGTAATGTGTATGTACTGAACATGTACATGTATTCCTAAGCTTACTCCTTCGCTTATAGTGATGGGGCTGACATCATTCACTTTCTCTCCATTGTCCAAAGACTCTTCACTAACAGCAAGAGTAACAGGATCATCTACTAGATTATCTTTGTCTTCTTTACTCTCAACTGCATCCTCTGTAGCATTAGTATCATTACCTTTCTCTTGTTCTGATTTCTTTGCTGAAGCTCTTCCTGGCTTCACTAGTTTTGTTTTAGTGTTGACAGATGAGATTGAATTAATGTCGACCAATGAGTGTGCATGCTGCTTATCATCAAGTGCTCTGCCCATTTTCAGAAGCATTTTTTGATCTGAGGCATACTCTACTGTGCTCAATATACTCCTTTGGCTCTCTACTGATAGTGGGGCCTCTTCCTTATCAGTCAAATCTGATGCTTGTTTTGTATCACCACTAACTCCCTATAAAAGAAAGAATGATAAAGGGTGGCATAAAGACAGACTGAGACAAGCAAATATTGATCTACTATAGCACAACAAAGCACAAAGTCACCATGCAGTAAAACTAAACACAAACTCAAAATAAATCGTAGTTCATACATGTAACACAGTGTGTGATTAAAAAGGAAACTTACTGTTTCACTTAATGGTAGGAAAGTAAAATCAGTTGGTAGAGCTCCATTATTATGCACAGTGACTGATCTTTTAATGGTTTCACCAATACAAATTGGACCAAATTCAATTTCTGATTTATTTACCACCACCTTTAATACGAATGAGAATGATAACCCATGGAAATGACTGAAATATGGACATTGTACACTGTACATATAGCTTTGAGTAATAGAACATTGTATAACACATTACGTCTAAATGTATCTACTGTACATTGTACTGTACATACATGTAGGATTATATATATACATGTATATTATAAGTATCAAAATGAAAGTGTGCATTTTAAGGAACATACCAGGCATCTCTTAATAAGACACTTGACATTTATGGAAAAAGGTCCAGTTTGTGACATAAAATCAACAGATCCAATGATGTCCTCATTTACCTGATAATTTCAACAATCGTTAATAATTGTTATACTCTCATACATGCACATAAGAACAATATGTACATGTGTGTATTTCATTTTCAACTCCTCACTTTAGGTTCAAAAGTAATTAACAGAGGGCATGTAATGCCAGCTGACATTGCACCAGGTGGAGTAAACCTAAATTGTTAATTTCTATAAATTTTATTCTGTACACAGTTCTCATACATGCACACACATGTGACTTAATGGACAAAGCGTCTTTAAAATGTGCACATAATGTACATGTACACATGTACCATAGTTACTGTAAGATCAAAGGGACCGCCAGGTGGTACATAGGCCATGTACACCTAACCGCTGCCAGTTAACGATATTCACTGCAAGATAATGAGATTCATTGGAGTATGTACATCTGTAATGAAATTCATCGGGTGAGTTTATCTGTAATGAGATGCACGAGCGATCTGCGCATGCTTAGTATCCAGCACGTGGCAGAAAATGGCAGCATAGTAGGGGCGTTACTAGAATGCGGATCAGTGCGGATTGCTGCGGATCGTTCCGCACGCTGAACCAAGCACGTGAACGCGCGGAACGTGCACGGGCGTGTGCCTAGAATGCGGATCAACTCCCAAG